GTGAACACAAGGAGGATGTAACAAAACAATGTCCGTACTTCTGCATCTTGCACTTCCAATGACAACACCATCGCAGACAAAAACCCGGTTGTGTGCTCCAGTAGGTATCTGAGTTACCTCACACGATGGGGCTTATTCGATTAGTAACAGTGGAGGTACTGCAGGCCTAGGAAGCTGTTGAGGTGTGCGCTGAGCCCTCAGTCTCTCCCTTGTTATGCCGGATTTCGTTCACGTTAATAAAGAATATTACACCTTAGTGTAATATTTAAAGGAGCATGATTCTACATCAGGCTGTTCCTCTGAAAGTCAAATTTGGGCCGCATCCGTCAATCCCCACTGCCGAGTATAACGGGCCGGCAGGCCTAAGCTGAGTTACACCCTCAAGTAACTTCGCTGACGCTACAGAAATTCAAGTATCTNCGGGCCGGCAGGCCTAAGCTGAGTTACACCCTCAAGTAACTTCGCTGACGCTACAGAAATTCAAGTATCTCATCTGATTCGGCAGACGACAAAGGCCAACAAGCTTAAAGGAAGTTTTTTCTCCAAAATTGTTCTGCTCTAATCCCCACTAGACCCGGCACTGCGGCTCTAGGGGCTAGGAGAGGAAACGGCCTGGCATGTTGCAGCAACATTTTGGAGCAAGTCTCATGCCAGCCTCCCGTGCAGTCATAAGACCACACCGCTTTTTGTGAACAATATCTAGTAAGCCCATTAAGTATTTACTCGATAAATATCAACATTGCACCTTCATCCGTTTCGTTGTTCAACAAATCCTCACTCTTGCACAACAAGCATGGTAATGTTGTTGTGATTGTTGTAAGTATTCACAACACAAACCACGCTACAGTAGTCCTGTCTAGACGGTACGTTCAGCAACGCAACGTGAGGATCGAAACGAGATACGGCATAGTTGGGTGACCAAGGGCAACCACAGGTCAATGTAAATGGCGTTCCTTGGTAAACCATAAGAAACAGTGTTCTGGTACTGTGTAGAGCCCTTCGCCGGATGAGTTTCTCGAGGATCCTCAGGCGCGACTCCGAGGTGCAGAGACCCACTGCGGCAGCTGGTCGGCTGCAGCTGCTCGGCTGCAGCTGCTCGGCTGCGATAACCTATCAGGTAAAGTGCAGATGTGCGTAAGCTTACCATGGCCATCTCCAAAGGGAAGCCATCGACCAGCATAGATATAATGGTGAGTAAGAAATAAAATAATGCCATCTAGGAGGAGGGTCTATATCTCCAACTAATGTAGTAAAACTCACATCTTGTCGTGCGCATGCACTACGCCCGCTAAGCTTTCACCAGCACCAACAGGCTAAACCTGTCAGGGGGCTGCACGCGCCGTACCGCCGATGTTGCTGGCCGGATCCGCGGACTGCCCCCGGGGAGTCTCCGAAGGGGTCTTCCGGTCCTGCGGCCCGTTGCCCCCAAAACATTGTTCTCTTTGATTTTCTGTGCACATTGAACATCAGTCCCCTCTAGTACGATCCTCTCTTTATGTGTAACGTGCGTCCCACCTGGACGCCTTGCGGTTAGTCTACCCTCCACCAAACTATTATCGGGAGTGCAACTTCTGGTGCGCTATCTCTCTGATTACTACGATACTAACATGATTCTCCAGTCCATTCTCTACTGATTGGTCAGAATATTGATATTGCTGATAAAATTATGGGGTGAGTTTGTACGTTCCGGAAATTTCAGTGTTTCGTGGCCTGCCCTGCTGAGCCCGTTACAAGGATGCGGTCCTCCTGCAGCTGGTCGGCTGCGACTACCAAACACCTGAAGCCTACCTGTGCGCGTCCTAGCATTGATGGATCTAACGGAAAGCAATAAACCAGGATAAATGTGATTTTGACTAAGAAATGCAAAATACTAACTAGTAAAAGAATCAATAACCCCAGTAAATATAATGAAACTGGCGCATTGTAGTACTGGCGCACTGCAGTCACGGTCAGCCGATATCATTGCTGTCGTCTGTCCAGACTGGCAGTCTTAGCTCATATCGTCCCCTTGAGTTCCCTCGAAGAATGTTCCATTTACGTAAAGCTACCAATTCTTAAGGAAAATTTAATCTGCAACGAAGCAAAAGGAAAGAAGCACCCCTCTGTGCCTGGCTGTGGCGCGGTGTGGCCGTTCGCCGGCATCGACCTGCGCTGGCTGCCTCGGATGCNCAGCAAAGCAGTTCTTGTGATCCCCATCATTCCTGAGATTTCCTGAAAAAGCATCTTCCACTTTATCCTGCTCCTTTGTCACAGGACCTTTTCCAACAAACGCGCAGACAGCGTGCAGGATGGGGAACACCGCGAGCGCCGACGACAAGCCCAAGCGCGTTACTTCCAAGGACCTTCAATGCCATACATACGTCAAAACCTACAGAGAGGTAAGCATTGTTCTGCGTATTGTGAAAGATGCTGCTTAAAACAAGTAGGTGGAGGTTGTAGGCCCAAATATTGGCGCTAGCAGCTTGCTCGACGAAGTGTTGAACCACTGCTGGTGCTGTTACTCAGTTTCTCCGAGCCCGCAAGCGCCTAGAGGCTTCTGCTGCTAGCCCAAGTGCCTTTTTTCTTAATACCTTCTATTTCCACCGGCTGAGACCCAGCCGGGGTCCTTCGGGGCCTATAACACCGCTCCTAGTTGCAACACGGGCTCGGCACTGTTTCAGCATGCTGTGTATAATTGTGAATCCCAAGTCACGCGTATTGTCCTGTGATCTATTAGTGGAGATATGCAACTTCATCATTGACTCTATGCCGGGCGTTCTTGTTCCTGCGCTTATCTCACTTTAAGTGCACGTCTGCGTGTAATCGTGTATCTCAGGGCGATGCGGAACTGCCTGAGGACCCCGACTTCCCGAAGCGCCTTCTAGAGCAGACGCGTTCATATGACTTCTCCAGTAAGCATTCTTCATATCCACCCAGATCCTTTAGGGCAACCTACTGCCCCACTTCGTTGGCTCAATGTCAACTGGTATATCCTATATATTCCGCAATTTGACTTTTGCGCCCCCCGCAGATCAAGTTGGGAATGGCCATGGAACGTATATATTCTATCCGAACAAGGACAAGCCAAAGATGTGGGTCGGGCAGTACAGGTGTCTGAACCCTGACGATCTTCTGTGCAACCAAGGCTGCCCTCCGGATGCTTCAACGGCAGCAGCACAGTGCGGCGAAGCCGCTGCTGAATGTATAGACCCAGTTGGCTGCGGCTTGATGCAATATTGCATGCCAGTAAGCAAGCCAGAATTTACAGCATCCGCGCGTCTTGACTTTGTATGAGACCTGCTCTCAACCACTCCCCTCATCAATCCGTGTAGCAATGCACCCTAATCATAGCGCCGCTGTAACACCCACCCTTTTCGCAATTCCATTGGCCATTTATGAATTATTTGATCTGACTGTGGACACAGAGCTACCAAGAAAAACCCTCCAGAACCACTGAACTTCCAGGAGGCACGGCCTATGCCACGGCTTCATCCACGAATGAAGACCAAATGCGTATTGAGCAGGCGCAAGTCAACAACATGGCACAACACGCGTATGCAATGGCAACAGGAAACGTATATGCGCACGCAAACTTTGACCAACGCCTTTCATTTTACCAAAATCTCCACCGAAGCAACCTGCCGTGCACGCCAGTTGTATCGAGGACATACCAGGGAACCGAACCTCCCCAGTAACGCTCCCTATCAACTATGATGAGGCACCGAAATTCTCGCAAGATAGAAATCTCTGTACAGATGTGCAGCATTTTATGCGGCCTGATAAAAACAAACTGCCCCTTTGCGGTTGAAAGACCTCTAAGGAGTTTTTTTTTTGTGGGGGGAGGGGGGGGGCGGGGGGGATGTCTGCCGCAGCTTTAGCTGACGAGTGACCACTTTGGGTTGCACCTGATGCAAAAATTCTGATTTTACTTTTTCCGATTGCCTCTCCCTCGGTATTTCCGGTCACAAAGAACTTGCTCTGTTGAAGCGTTACACGTGATGCACGCGCTGGACCAGCGCACAGAAGAATGTGGCTGTGGGACTGAGTTCAGATAGAGAAAACCTTTTAGACGGCAAACTCAACTAATACAAACTCAACGGTGCGGAAGTGATGTAGGTCGTACATGCAGCTTTATGGCCCATTTAATAACATCTATTGAAAAGACACTCTGATAGGCAAGCCGGTTCCCCGGAGTTTTTCCGGTGAGCCTGGCGGCAGCTCTGCTTTAAATGAATTCTAGATGTAAAACAGCTGCTCCCTGACTGTTCATAGTGAGCTTCAAGCCGTCATTTAAGCACATTCCCGATCGCTACGAGACACCTTTTCAGGATACTCGCAACCAGAAGTTTCTGAAGTAGCGCTCTCAGTGTCAAATGCCCAAATGTACATCTACATATTCAAAGTCAGCAAACAAATGCGAAAGCGGGTCAAATCTCGAGTCACTCTAACATAGAACAGGGGTGAGTACGCACGACGTGTAGAAGTGGGACAGTGATCCTTGCCCACTGAAATGGAGCTTAAAACAAAGTCACAGTAAAATGCATCCATAGTGAAAAAGCATCAATATAGGCGCATGCCCACGTCCTGCTCGCTGCATGGACACTGATGGCCACAAAGGCTCCACCGCCGCCGGCCAGCTTGAAATCAGTCGGCTGAAGTTTACATGATAGTGCACTTGTTTCCAAAGCAACGAGGTTGGTCGTTTAAGCCAACTGCGCTGTGCTTGCTGCGGCGCACGCCAAAGCGATATCCATCGTCTTCATCCATTACTCGAGAGTGGTAGAGGGCACTCAGTCGCTGGTTGGTTTCGCGCTGTTCTGCCAGTTCCCGACGTAGTTCCTTAGTCTCCCTGACATCACAGTAACACAGGTCAGTGGCAAGGGCTGCATATATATATATATATATATATATATATATATATATATATATATATATATATATATATATATATATATATGATAGAAGTGCTTGGACCAGCATGCGAAAGGTGGCAAAGAAGAGTTCTGGCAACCAACACAGTGTGCTGCTCACTGCCTGTGGCGTTCCTCTTGAAGTGTTTGCTGCTCACGCTCATCCTCAAGCTCTCGGCGGAGTTGCTCAGCTTCGCTAAAAAAAAGAAGAAACAAAAGGACAGAACAACACAAATCATTCCCTGGACAACTCCACAACGGAGGCGTTGACGGGTAAGTCTAGCTAGGCATGTGTTTCGAAGTATGTTACTACGAGCGCAGTTAAAACTGCATTTCCTTACAAGTCCTTGTTCTGTAACTCCTGTTCAAGCTTCACCGCCTTATCACTCTTCCTCTCGGCATCCATCGTTTTTTGGTGCAGCAATGCAGCTGTGCGCTAAACAAAGCATAGGAATATACTTGTAACAACCGGAATTGTGAGGGACAACGGGGGATGTAACAATGCATGAACAGCAGTATATATATATATATATATATATATATATATATATATATATATATATATATATATATATATATATATATATCAACCACACGAGAAATGGACAAATACTTGGCAGCAGAGAGGTGAAGATGCTGTAAAACCAGTGCAAGAACTGCACCTCGGAGTCACGAGCTAGATCTTTCAGGGCGTCAGCAACGGCCTTTGCGCCCTTAGACAACAGTTGGTCAATATAGTCGTTTAAGACTCGCTGGTGAACATGCTGTGGGCCCCGCGTCTCGGCGTTGTACCTGTACCGCAAAGTACGCAAACTAGCAGCTCTTTGCCTCTCCCTGGAGCGTTAATACCCCTTTAAGACTAAGTTGCTAGGCAGCAGCTCAAGTGATTATTCAATCCTCAAAACTCTTGAGACTTGCTCCTGGCGTAGCAGAGCGAGGTCATCATTGAGCGCCTGTAGGTCCATGTACAACTTCCCGCTTATCTTCTGGTCTATGCCAAGCTTGTCGCTAAGAAGCTTTGCCTTCTGCCTGCACTTCCACTCCGCATGCCTCTGAAGACAACCCGCAGATCTTGTACCATGACTTAGCAACAGCGGAGAAGGCCCCGATTGCCCTCGTGAAGCAGCGACTAGGGAGACGAAGCAAGTTTATTCAGGCCGACTGCACTTGAGAAAAGCCCTACTTTGTTGCATATAGTGCGATCTACCGAAACGACAAATGCGTTGTGTGGAGCACAAGTACTACTAGGCATAGCACAGGAGAGACGAAAATGTGTCAGGTTATGTTAAGCACGTTTACTTACTTCGTTCTCCTCCAGCGCTCGCTCAGTAATTCGACGAAGCTTCTCCTTCAACTGCGTTTTATAGTGACGGAGGATTTCGTCGTCACCTGAACCCCCAACAACTACAGACAGAGATGAGCATGTGCGGACTCCTCCGAAGGAGCCAAGAAGTTGATACAATATCAGCTGTACGAAATTTTAGGGTTGTCAGGGCGAGTTAAGTAGGTCGAGCGACGGTTTCAACGCAACCAACTGACCAATTGCGTGAATCTTGAAGTGTTCAGAATACTTGCGCTGCAATTGTTCAGCTCCATCTTGCAATTCTTTTGTCGCCACAGGAAGTTTTGATTGGAAAGTATCCCTAAGCTCTTTAGTGAATGCGTCCTCGCATACTTGCTTCCAACGTCTGCACTCGTCATGTTGAATGGAGCCCAGGAGCCGGACACTCTCTGGAACCTCTCCCGCATTGATTCCCTCAACGAGCTTCTCCAATATTCTCGTAAGTGAAATGCCAGTAAGTGCAGTTCCATCCAGAGCCCTTCCTTTGCAATCGCGGAAAACACGGGAGCGCAATTGCGCAAGTCGTCGTTGGTAAAGGGGTACAAATTCAGAGACGCTGACAGCCTCCAGAGCCCTTGCCTGGGTCTGGCCAGAGGATGCCTGCTGCTGATGGGGTACGTATTGGCCAAGTGGTGAAGGGAGAGCGACGCAGTCACGATCATCGAACAGATCTGAGACCTCCTGGCGTGCCATGCGAATCTGAGGATTCTCCAAAGCTAGAGCCAACTTGCTGAGGTTTTGGTTATCCCTACTGAGGGTAAGGCTCAGCAGGGCTTCAAGATAATCGCCAGCCGTCAAAGGGTTCTGCTGTTCGTCTACCATGGACATGTTGAAGTCCTGGAGTACCCACAGCAACGCAGGGGCCCTCCAGCTGCTCGGAGAATGACAAACTGCAAAATTTTCACAACATAACCGCAGATAGAAGTCGGAATCAGTCGCGGCCTGTGCCTGTGCATTCGGAAAACACACAAACTACTGGGTTGACACATCGAATCTTGAAAATACCATACCAGGCTTCGAAGTCAAAGATGCTGCATCCGCCTTCCCTTTTGGGCTGGGAGATGCGGATGGGCCAGCATGAGATGGAGTTGGCGGCTTCTGGTCTGGCCGATCTACGCCTCCTGCATGGGTCATTCTTAACCGTTGCGTCCATGCCGATGCCTGCGAAATACCGAAGTGCACGCTGTACATTTCAGGATTCAGGATATGCACGTGGAAGCCCACACGTATTGCCTAAAGCAGCCAAGAGCAAAGAGCCATGCGCCTGGACGAGCTCACTGAGGCCAGGCTGAAGAGAGTGTCGCTGTCAACAGCTCCTCTTGTAACGAACACCAGAAAGTGAGAAACAAGCAGGGCCAGGGTAAATAAGCGTTGATCGTGCTCCACAGTCTTCCTCCTGCTCCTGGAGTCATGAAGAACCAACGCAAGAGGTGGTGGCTAGTTCAGCTACACCCATCCGGTAAGTTGGACTTTCTATTTGTACGCTACTTTCGACACTACGAAGGAGAGAAGGAACATTTCACTTACCCAATTCCTTCAAAGTCAAGGACCAGGTACACCAAATTGTCCTTGTCGCCTTCAGCCTCCACAGCAGATACCCAAACTCCTTCTGTCTTGCCTTCAGATTCGGCTCGCTGCACGAAGCGTGAGCCTTTATGCATCGCCGGAGCTGCCGCAGATGATCCGACAGCGAAGCCAACAGTACTGGACATCACGTCGCTGGAGAAAGAAAAAAAAGTCACAAGATTCCCCATTTGCTTCTTTTTGTAAAGACTACGATATGCATTGTGGTTACAACTCACTCGTCCAGCAGAAGATTTGCAAGTCCTGATTTTCCAGTCTGAAGCTCCCCGCATATCGAGATGACGGCAACAGATCTCGTCGAAAGCTCTGACAACCACCGGCGAGCCCCCTCGTCTGGAACCGCACAACGCAGGAGTAGTTTCTTGAAGTTGATGCAATCCGCATTCTCAGAAAAGGACCCTAGGGAATGCCCCTGCTCCAGTGTTACCAAGGGAATTAAGAGGGAAGTTGAGAAGATATTCTGACCAACAGTTAGAACTTCCTTGCCGTCCCATCGATTCACGTGGATAAGCTGCATGGGTCGCGGCTGACAGAATGCGCAGCAGCACAAGAATTGCTTGCACGATATGTGCAATGGCGGCAAGAGTGGGGATTTAACGCTGTCCTGAGCCACTGCAACGCTACCTTACCAGCATCTTCTTCTTTGCCGTCAACAGTCTGCTGTCCCTGCTATGAGCAAGCGGATTGCTCAGAAGAGCTGCTCCACGGTCTGAGGGAGCCTGTCCCCTCAGCGGAAGGCCCATGACCCCGTCGACTAACAACATTGGCTCAGTTAAACTCGTGATGGTAGAACGATCACTCTGGTCATCACTCGGGCTTTTTTGTTGTTCCGAAGCTGCACGTGTAGCGTCAATCATACGGTATTTCTCGTGAGGCAATGACACTGCAGGCACGCCATCGTCGCCTACCATTGCAGAGTCTGCCACAATTGGCGAAGCTGGGAACTGACGGCGGTAGTCTGCAACCAAAACAAGGATAGTCGCACAGAGTAGCTGTCCTGGGTGTGAACTTTCAACCATCATGCGCATCTAAACGGGTGGCTAACTTGGCGCAAATGCTGAAATATTCATGCAATCGCGTTGCCTCGGCCGGTGCTATTTAAAATGTACGCTCACATGACGTGTAGTAGTTCGTTGTTCCGCCAGTTACTGGCGACACAGTAGCTGCCGGTTCCGCATAATGAATTGCTGTGCACAAATAACGACGAAATTCTGCCACAATACACGATGAAGTCCCTGATAAGCAGCATCCCACTTGAAGTCACTGTACCGCTATACAAACGTTGTGGCTCCAGTCTGATGGATGTGGAGAACGATAATGGTGCGGAGCCGTACTTTCCGTGTAAGGATACGATGGGATATCTGCGGCAACATGCGCGGGGGAGGAATAGTTCTGGGGTGTGGCTGGCTGTGGAAACGAGCTCCTTGCAGCGTCCCGTCCGCTGACTGAACAGAGAACCATCAGGACAGTTTTGTGGCTTATAAGCATATGCAAGGATTTCAGATGGTAAAGGAAAAATGCACGAGGAAATTCTACTACAGTTTGCGCTTCTCTGCTCACCAGAAGGAAAGACTGCGGATGGGTAGGAAGTGCCGTCCGACAGCACCACTTGGTAAGAGCTAGAAGCTGGCATTGCTGACGATTCACCTCCTCCCGCCACAACGTAGCTATTTGCATACGCCTCTGGGAAGACAGAGCCAAGTGCTGAATGCATATAGCTAGAACGCCCGTGATCTTCCATTGTACTGCCAGTGCGTCGCTCACGAGCCTCAAACGCTATGCTACCGTCCGGGTTGCGTGTACTGTTTATGCCGACTTTTCCAATCCCGCTTCGTTTTTCACCTTGGGAAATATGCGGTATTATGGATGGCTGATCTTTTTTTTGTTGTCCTTGGATGCCCGCAATGAATGTCTCTAAACTTGCCGTCAGGTTAACGTCACTGTTTTCGGGGTCGACTGACCCCAGTCGCTGAACTGAAGATACGCTGACACCTCTGTGCCACTGGATATCTGTATTTTCTCCAACTGCTGACTTCTCACTAAACTTTCCTTCAGGGTACTTCTTGAAACCTCGGCGATGTTCTGCTTCGCGTTGCGGCGACCCAGGTGCATTAGTTGCAAATCCCGCCTGCCCAGTGGATGTGACGGAAGGGATGTCCGAATCTCGCGGCAATGGCGATACAAACATCTTCCGGCGTAGCCCTTGTTGCTCGCGGTGCTCACCCAGACCGCCCGCCGGGGATGCCCAACAGCAAGTACCCGCTTCCGCAGTGGGAAGGGAAGGCCAAACTGTGAAGATCTACCCTAGGGCATCATGAAAAAAAAACAGAACGCTTACGAGGTGCAACGGCCAGCAGCAGCAAGTAAGCAAACAGCAACCGGAATTATGTCGAACAAGACTCGTCAGTGACCGCGCGCCATACGAGCCCCGACTGCGGGCGCTTTCTGCAGGGATTAAAGAGAGTAAATTTAGTGTCTAAGAGCGTCTAAAATCGAGAGAATGTGTTCAGGTTTCCTAGCTAGGGGAGGCTTTTCAGACCGGACGAAACAATGATCCCTAGTTGGTCACTGACGACGCCTCCCGAGGTCCAGATGAACCCGGCCACCGAGCTGTCGAATGCACAGAACAGAAAGGGCTTCTCTTCTCTCTCGTGCTTATCTTATTAGCAAAATGGAGTAAAAGAAACAAGAGGATGATCCCTGATGACGCAGAAATGAATTGTGCGGATTTGGTCCACTCCAGCCCCGAGATGAACTGGCCCTGCCAGTAAGGGGAAAGAATTTAAGGACCCGAGGAACAAGTCAGAACATTTACACAGATATGTCCTGTTTGGGAGCAGAGCTTAAGGGAGGCTGCCAGGGTCGATCCAAGACGTGAGACTCAACGAAGCCCGTCTGCCATCAGTCTGCCAGCCAGACTGACATCTGTCCACGGCATGCTGACTGTAGTGCGTGAGCAATACAATGTATTACTTCTTTCAGCTCCGTTAGATGGATTAGTCTAATTAGTAGTCAGTTAGCCAAGTATTGGGCTTCATAATATATTTTTGCCAAGAGAGGGTAATATGTTAGACTGGATTCCACTCAGCTGCCGCCGGCACCAACAGGCTATTCCTGTCAGGAGGGTGCAGCCACCATACCGCCCCAGTTGCGGCCTGAATCCTTGGACTGCTTTAAGGGAGTCTCCGAAGGGACTTTCTTGCCCCGCGGCCCATACATCCCCAGAGCACTGTTCCATTGATTTTCTATGAACATGGGACATCAATTCTTCGTTGCACAAACTCTGTTTGTGCATATCACTTGCCCAATCCTTGCTGCTTCCAGTTTATCTTCCAGAGCATACAATTGCCAGGAGTGCGACTTCGGGTGCGTGTTCTTCATGATCACTGGGATTCTACGGCTAAGTGCCAACCTGTTCCTTTCCCACATGATGCGATATGATTACCATCGATAAAAATATAAGGTGCATCTAAGGGTTTCAGTAATTTCAGCGTCGCTGGACCTGCCCTGCCGAACAGCAAGGCATTACAAGTGGAGTCTGTTCCGGTGCGATCGCACAGGAACGGACCCCGCTTGTGTGTGCTTCAGTCGCATCTCCGCTTCTTCCAACCTTCCTTCGCTCTCTCCCAGCCATGTCCACCCTTTTCCGCTGCGATGCTTCTTGTTGTCGATAATGAACTCAGATCACTCTATACGTGAGCTTTCCGATAATACTGGTTCTTCGCCATTGGCTCCACCTGGTTCGGTGGCCGACTACCTCGAACAGAGCCCTAAGCGCTTGAAGATGGAGCATCATTCCCCTTCCGAATCCACACCGATGTCCACGGCTACGACCGTTAAAGGCTGGTCTCGCCCCCCGACCTCGCCTTCCCAAATCTTTGTTCTCCTCACGGACTATGCAGAGGGCAAACCCATGCAAATCCCTCGGGAGTTGGGTTCCAATGCGCCGGCATTCCTCCACTCGATGGAAGACGCCTTTGTGGCTACTGGCCACCCACCTTCCCAGTGGTGAAGAGAGCTTTTTCGATTTGTTGACGTGCAAGCCCGTAAGGCTTGGTCCAACATAAACCGAGAAGGTTTCGATGTCTCTCATTGTCCGGCACTCAAATCAGTTCTCCTGGCGCCCGCAGTAGCTGCAGCGCGCATCGGGTATACCGTTTCCCTCGGACGGGCGACGCTGCACGGTACAAGATGGACTTTGCCTCCTGTCTCCTCACAGGCCCAATACCGCCAGCTGACGAGCTCGTTTACATTTTCCTAGGCAATTTGTTCCCCTACGTGCTGTGCCCTCTGGCCGACCACGGAGATGAGACTTCTCACTCTTGGGGGCATGCGACGGACACCGTAGCTTCTCTTTTGGGCAGGTGGCGAATGATGCTCAACCAGGTACAGCGTATGCGACAGGAAGTTTTTGAGGTCCCCCGTGTGACAGTCCAGTCAGGAGGGTCGAACAATCCGTTTCGGCTGCTGCTGAGGCGTCCCGTTGCCGCCCACGGTTCGGGCCTCATGGTACCTCCACCAACGATGAACCTAATAGGCGCATTGGAACGACAGGGTCCAGTCCTCTGAGCACTTTATCTCCTCTGTCGCCGTGGCCTATTCGGCAATAGCCAAATGGCAACGCCTAGGCGCTCCCCGGGGTAGGCGTCCGAGGGACGCACAGGCACAGACAATGGGGGGGCTCATGAGTATTGGCATATTTGCTATTGGCGCCAATGCTATTCCTATTTCCGAGACGTGGCGCCAGGGACTCCCGGCACACAATCCCGTTGAGTCAGACACTGCATCACCGGTTCTCACCAGCACACCGAGACATCAGCCCCACCACCGATAGTTTAAGCGGGCCCCCATCAGGCGGCGAAGCCTTGCCCACCCCTGGCCCAGCCGCCAGTAGACCGTACCGTTGCTGACTCCACCTTCCCTCACTGGTTCTTCCTCCTTACGCCCTCGCCACCCGTTCCTACCGAAGTGGGACGCCTATGCACCATCGGTGTGTCCTGCTGCCTCCCAGCTTCCATTGCTGGTCGACCTGGCTCCGCCTTCTCGAATCTGGTGCGGCACGATGTTTTATCAGTGTACACTGCGTGCGGCGCCTCCGCTTGCCGGTAGTACATTTAGCCGCTCCTTTCGAGCTCACTCTGGCGGACGGTGGTCCCACTGTTGTGCAGCAAGAGATTCGGAGCCTTTCGTGGTCCAGTGGATCTGAACGTTTCTCCGATCTCATATCCGCGGCCCCACTTCTGCGTGAGCTCATCCTTGGTATGAAGTGGCTATTTAAACGTCGGGTACACTGGCGGATGGATGCTAATAAAATGCATGTTCACATGGGGGGTGCTTCTCATTTTCTATCGAATCGGGGCTCTCGAGGTGACTCATCATTCGTGGATCGGAAACTTATTTCTCCGGCAGAAAGGGCTTATCATATTCTTGGCTTCATGTGGCATCTATGACAGGAGATGATGTGGCGGCTTTTGCCCAGCCTTCTCAGAAGCATCCAAAACGGGGACGCCGCAATAAGGTTCGAGAACCCATTGAAGAACTCGTACGTCAGGCTCATGCTAATGCGGCGGCTGCTAGTGATCCTCTTGTGGCATTTAATCTCATCACCGCCTTGCCCTCTGCTGCCTTTAGCAGAACACGCACATCTACCTCGTTCTGGTGTGGTGGTATCTCTTTGAGTACCTTAGCGCCGGCTCCTACGCGTTCAGCTTCCCCAGCATCCCCTGCTCCCATACCTTGGTGCTGAATGATGAGCCTTCTCCTTGACCTACGGCTAAGCTGGAGTATTCGGGTTTCGATGAATGGATGCGATCACTGGCGGCCAAATAAGCTCATCCTGGCATTTTGTGAATCTCGAAGGAGTTTCGTCCGATTATCTCCCTGCTGTTCTCCCTCCCAAGAGGCCGTAAGAGAACCGTATCCTTCTTCTGCCCTGTCAGTTGCCAACAACGTCTGCGCTATACACGGTGTCACATGATGAGTTAACACACCACAAGCAGGAGATAGGAAAGCTAACTGACAAGGTTGGGTAGGGCCTACCTATTCTCCCTCTTGTTCTCCGACTCTCATGATGGATAAACATGACGATGGGTATGGCGGAAAACGAATGAGAAGGGTGGTAAATTATAAGGCCCTCAATGCTTTGAAAGTGGCCGCCGACTTCGCCCTTCCGCCTGTACAGACGATCCTAAAGATGCTAGGCGGCGCTCGTCATTTTTCTACCATTTATCTTGAGTCTAGTTTTCACCAGGTCTGAATGCCCAACGAGGATACCTGGAAGGTCGCCTTCCCTTCTATCTTGGGCTTCTTTCACTACCCTGTTATGCCATTCGGTCTCCACGGAGCTCCAGCGACTTTCCAAGCAAATATCAATGCCTACCTGCAGCCGTGGCTCGGTCAATGGGTTATAGCTTGCCTGGACGTTCTACTACAGTGCTTGTCGTCAATGTTGCTGTGACAACGCTCCGCAGGTTTGCTACAATATCCCAGGATCCCGTCCAGACGTTGGTGTCACGTCTATATGGATTTCGTTACGGATCTGCCTCGCACTCAACAGGGTGATGGTGCAGTTCTGGTTATTCTGGATTCCCTCAGCATAGTGTCCCACTGCATTACCACCTCCAAGATTCTCTCCTCAGAGCAGATGACTGAGTTATTGGCTGACTGTCTCATNATCCACAGACTGATGTACAGACAGAGCGTATTAACCGCGCTTAGTCTGTTTGAGGTTATGATAGGTGAAAACTTCATAACAGCAGCGTATTTGGATATCGTCGGTGAGATCCCTCCTACGCTTACTCCGCCTATGTCTAAGCTCTTCCAGCGCCTCTGTGACCGAGAAAAATCTCACGTCGTGCAAGCTACGTGGTCTCAGAAGCATCATGCAGATTCCCATGGCCGGGATGTCGTTTTCCAGCACGATTCTAGAGTGTAACTCAGCAGATGCAATGTTCCTCCCCAAAATTCGTGTTCGAAGTTCGAGCTGAGCTTCCGGTGCCGCTCACAACAAAGGAGCTGATCGGTCAGGTGGCATATCGTTTATCCCTTCCCCCTTCCCATGAGTGTCACGATGTTGACGGAGGGTGTGAGAAACTCCCCTTCAGAAGGGCCAGTCTAAGGAGAGTTTGGGGCCTTAGGAATCACATGGCCCTCGGAAGTCGACCCTACGCACGTCAGTAGATGCACCAGCCGCCGCCAGCCGCTCTGCATCTTGTGATCCCAACGACAACACAAACGCAGATGAAAAACACGATTGTGAGGCCTAGTAGGGATCCAACTTCCCTCACACGATGGGATGATGCGAATCTATGACACTAGAGGTACTGCGGGCCCAGTAAGCTGATGAAGGGTGGGGAGAGCCCTCAGTCCCTCACATGCAATGCTGAGATTTGTTCAAGATAACGTAGAGTATTTCCCTTTAGCTTTACGCATCATTGGCTTGTATCTCTGAAAGACTACTGTGGGGCGCATCCATAGAACCCCACAGCTGAGTATAGCGAGCTGGCGGGCATTAGCTATCATACTGATATAACAACATAACAAGCTAGCAAATGTTAAAGGAAATTACTTCTCTCAGTTTCTTCTCCAAAATTGTTCTGTTCTGCAGCCCCACTAGAGCCGGCACTGCGGCCTTTGGGGCTGCGAAAGGAGACGGCGTGGCATGTTGCAACACCTTTTGCACCAAGGCTCATGCCAGCCTCTCTTATAATGATACCAATGTCACTTCTTAAAGAATATTTAGCGCATTCACCAATGTTACTACCCAATGCACATCAACAAGCACTCACAGGCACTTCGACATTTCATTATACCCTCACTCATTTCACAACGAGCACGACAATGTTGCCGTGATTGTAGCGAATANCGCAATAATTGGCTGGTCTGAATCCGGTTCGAGCCCGCTGATACGGTGAGAAATCGCATTTCTTCTGTAAGGCCACGCACAACACCGCTCGCATACTTGAGGGAGAGTCCCCTGCCTTTGCTGTGGACTGTCGCGAATTGCGATAGACTCCAAATATTAAGGATGCTAGTTCCCGCAAACCACTAAACTTCACTCCTGTCTCCATGAATCACGCAAAAATTCTCTAAGGTAATTGACAAAGTTGTACCCTCCCCATACTCGAGGTGAGCTGGGGAGCATCAGTGATTGGTATATTTTGCGTTGCTTTTCTGGAAAATCCAGGGAGTAGTCTCATTGAGAAAAGGGAGTATTCCTACTTTTCCCAAGGAGTTCCCTCTTCCCTAAATAGAAGCCTCGTTGAAATCGTTTTATTGTAAACGGAGGAAGGTACGCTGTAGTCCTGCTAGATTTTTTGCAAGGTATTGCGGGGTTTCATATTGTGTGCGGAGTTAGAATATTCTTTAGTTCCCTNTGCTAGATTTTTTGCAAGGTATTGCGGGGTTTCATATTGTGTGCGGAGTTAGAATATTCTTTAGTTCCCTTTTGTGTTGACTCGATCTGACAGGCACCTACTAGCGCGTTGGCATGATATCACGAGAGAAGGCAGACAAGAGGCTCTCTTTGGAGGTAACAATGAGGACTCGTATGTCTGTTGTATCATAGAGAATCAAGTCGAAAGGTCCTACCACCTTTAAAAAAAGCGTTGAAGAAACGAATTTCTTAGGACCCTAACAGCAAAGGCAAAGTCCAAGTCTGAGTACCTCAATGAAGGCTTACACGTTCGTTGAGGTGGACAGACGAAAAGCCAGAAACGTCGTTCACGGAGCTTACAGCCAATCCTGCTGGATCGGGTATCTCCCGTCAAGCCCATCCTACCTACGCATCAGGGGGATGTGACACACTTGGAGATGTCTGCGTTTCTATAGTAATCTAAATTATTCCTGAGCAGACCAAAGAGATTCAAACTAATGTAACCGGCGTATGGTGCTGGGGAGTTAACATCCTGTAGCTAAATAATTAACTTCAATGAAAAGCAATAGTGTAATGAAACGCAATAGCATAAGCACTTGATTGAGAAGCGCCCATATTGCATGGATTCGAAACTACGACAGCGCACAAGTGGAAGGCGGTCAGAATCGGCATAAACCTTTGGTTGAAGAATGCCTTGTGAGCGCCTCTTTGATATATTTGAATGCATTTGTAGCATGGTCTGCCTGCAGTTAGCACAGGGCCCTTCACTTGGCCTTGGTAGGTTGCGGGNGAATGCATTTGTAGCATGGTCTGCCTGCAGTTAGCACAGGGCCCTTCACTTGGCCTTGGTAGGTTGCGGGTAAGCAAATGCAGAGTTCCTACATGTGTATTCAGGTAAAGCATGCAGTAAAGGAAGCTTCAGCGAAGCTTCCTTATTTGCGATATTGGCTTGCTTCACCAGCCGCAGCGAGGTACACTGCAACCGAATCTCAGACTACCTCCTCCCCCCAACAGCCAGGCATGAGCTCAACGCCTAGGACGCCAGAATACAGGGGAAATGTCTCAGGTGCTTTTGGGAAACTATTAAAGGTCTTTCCCTACATTCCAGCTCGCTTCCGTTTTTGATTAAGGCCAGAGAGTAAGCGTTATAACACAGAAGTCTTCATACGACGTAAGTAGCCAAGGCATCATGCCTATTGTGCGTGAAGTATGAATGAAGCTCAAGTTAGCTGAAACTTCTGCAATATTGGCTGCTCTGAACACGTGGAAGTGAGCTTGAAAGTATGCATTAATGGGAAATGCACCAGTTAAGGCCTGTTTGTCGCGAAACGGGAATACAGAAGGAACACATCGAGGACCTAAAGCATGCAGCACTTCTCAATCACACCATGAAAAGCAGAGCGTCTAAGCCTAGAAACTGCTCTGCATGGCAATCCGGTGCCCGGTTCGATGAGACCCTGCAAGTCCAGGTATGGAGACAACCCCAATTGTTCTTATGGAGAAGCCGCATTAAGTCCACTTGCCCTGTGACAGACGGTTGTCTTCAAACACCCTTCCAGGGCTGCTTGTATCCACAAGCCCAGCTGTTCCGTGCGCCGAGCTGTCAGCAGAGTGACAGGCTCACGGCGCGTCTGGACGTCACTCTNAAGCCCAGCTGTTCCGTGCGCCGAGCTGTCAGCAGAGTGACAGGCTCACGGCGCGTCTGGACGTCACTCTTTATCTGTGGTGACACAACACTGCTAGTCGAACTCTCATGTAAAATTGCACAGGGATTCATGTGTAGCCTCTTGCAAATTGGTGCAGGGCAAGCTAGCCCTTCTCTGCATACCAATGTCTCGCTGTTGAAGCATCGATTTGGTGCACGGCGCATTGTGGAGGGCCAAGCCTTGAATGCCCTTCCACAGTCACAGTGGGTCAAATTTTCTTGCTTTCAACCTCAGTGGAAGGAATTAAAAGCTGCCCAGATAAATATTTGGTACACTCTAACTCCCCCTGGTTCAGTGTCGCCAACCTGGCTGCCCGCCCGGGTCGGTGCATGCTTGTACCAACCGTGCGTCCAACACAGCATTGATCACCTCAAACTGGGGATAATTACAAGCTGAGCTATGTAATATCGGCTGAGGTCCAGGTGATACGTTTCTATTCGCAGTTTTGTGGAGGGCATAGCAACAACTGAAACGGGGCTAGCCCCCCTTTGAGTGGTGACCACCGGTAGACCTGCCCAGTT